CGGGGTGGGTGGTGGCGCCCCGCCATCCCACGCCACGCCGCGGGCCGTACGGGCGGGCGAGCGGGTGGGCCTGGCTGGCTGGCTGGCTGGGGGCATCGCGCGAGCTCGCGCGAGTTGGCGATAGGCACGGGTGCAGTGGCGGTACTGGTACTGGTGCGGGTACGACTGATGCTGCTGGTGCTGGCTGGCCCTCCTGTCGGGCTTGTCAACCGCACCACCACTCGTACTCGTACCGCAGCGTCTCTGCCCGTGCAAGCTCACCCCGGCCCGCGGTGCGGGTGCGTCCCCCCTGCCCGCTCCTCTCGGTCTCGGGTCGCTTTGCCTGCTGGTGCCGGTACGTCGCATTGGCCGGCCTCGTATCCTCTGCGCGATCGGGTCCTCGCCCAACGCTAGTACTACATGGTGCTTCATTATTGTACTTGGCCTGGCCCTGGCACGTGTAGTACGAGTATTCAAATATATCGGTGAGAAAAATGGTGTTTGAGCTGGCTACAGATGAATTTTTGAATTCAAGCACGTGTAGTAGTAGCAAGAAGAAAAAAGAAAACCACCACGGATGAAAAAGTCAAAAACTCTAGCATGCATGAGAATTATCGTTCGGCTTGACGGCTAGAATCGGTAGGGCGTCACCGAAGCACGAGTCTCGAAAGATAGAAATGATTGCTAAATCTTACAATAAAAAAGTATGTGTATATGCATTGATGGTTGCTTTAAAGCTTCGAGGGAACTTGCAAGAACTCCAAAACATAAAATACATGCAAAAAATAATGCTTTCAAGGTTTAACCTTGTTATAGATTTCCTCCATAAATCTCTTGTTATTGTTGTGGTATTATTATTAGACTAGCCACAATGGAGAGTAACCTACACTAGTAACATACACATATCTCTAGACTATATTACTACCTCAATAGTGGGTAGTAACATAAGTATGGTAACACGCAAAGCTTCATTTATTAGGCTATAGACTCATATTGCATTGGGATATGTGATGTTACAGTAATTAGCCAAGTTACTAGTATTACATCTCTCCTCATTAACTCATTGTCACATAAGCAAATTTGCTGACTTGGACTCGATGTTACTACCGAAGTTACTCCCACTGTGGCTAGTCTTATGTGAAGTATCTCATAGGAGTTTTATGGGAAAAACAAATTTAAAAACATGGAGAAGTGGATCATTCTTATCATTTCCTTCTCTCTCTCCTCCCGGTAGCTCCGTTGAGAGTCGCCTATGGCTCCCAGGCCGATCACATGCCTTGTCTGATGGCGCTGTCGGCTGGAGATGGTTAGGGAGAGGTGCTCGAGCTCCTCCTCGTATATAATAATGGTCGTTTAAGACTTGCCTTAAAATGGTGTTTGGCGCTATAGCAGAGGGGATTGTGTCGGCGGAGCTTATGGGTCGCGCATGGCGGTCGTCGTCCTCTTACATGTGGTGCTCCAGTGGCTGGAGCCGAAGACGAGAAGACTTCATTGTCCCCGTTGGCTGCCCAACTACGAAGATAATGAGTTTGCCCCCATCTGCTCCCTCTAGGGCGCCGTGGTGGATGGAGCGAAGATGCAGATGAGGCAAACTCCTCCGTTGAGATGCCAGCACAATTCCTTGCCGGCATCAGCAAGAGCGTACACTGAGGCGCTTTGGTGCCCATCGGTGCCCCCCCCCTCCCCTTGTGGATGTGGTGTTGGTGGTCATGTCGGTCATAGTTGTTGTTCCCCTACTTCTTCTGGTCGAAAGGCGGCCCACTGGAGCCTCGTCATCAGCTTTGTTATTCCTCCCAATGAGAAGCTAAAACTGAGGCATGTATCTAGCATAGCATTAGCCGATGGTTGCTTCTTCCTTCGCCGCCGGCAAAACCGGTGGATATGGGGCAGCGAGGTCACCACCCTAAGTGGTTTATTGTCGATGGCGGTGCCTTTGGCTCTCCACTAATCCTATTAATAATGACTAAATTGCGGTTTTACTTTCTGACCTCGGATCCTATTTGTAAAAGGAAAGGACTAGCTTGCATTTTCTCTTTTTTGTTGGTTACCGATATAATTTGTATCGTCATGCTTATCCAATGGAAGTCTGGGTCCTTCGCGGCCCTTCGCTCTTGTCATCTTATTGTACCATCGTAACAAATGACAACCCTTTGTACCTTTGGGATCACCCAAAAAGGCCAGATAAAGTTGAACACCAAGAGCTCCTTTCGATTGGTACATGGGCACTAGTGATGAAACTTACACAACTAAAGTGAAAAGAGTGCTTCTCGTGGAAATGAAGACTCTAAAACACCTGCGGGAAAGGAGCTTTCATTCGATATACGTTATCGTGGAAGTTTCCATATTTTTTTGCGTATTTGTATAGTGCACTCCAATTAAACCCATATACACTTTTAGTCCAACTCAATCTACTAAAGAAAAAAATCCCATGTTCCGTAATCTGACTTGTCATCTCGGTAAAATTGGAAACTTGTACAAAATAGTAGTCATATTAGCGATTCAATTTATTGGTTTCATTGTGTTTTACTTTTTGGGTTATGTGGTTTTGGGACCCTATGAACTTTTATTTGCCAACGCCGTATTTGCTCTATATTTATTTTCAACAGTATAGACTTCCTTATTAATTTCCAGGTTCCCATATTCATTCTCATTTCTGTCAAAAGTACAAAAACAAATGTAGCAGCAACCGGTCCCCTTGGTTTCTATTCAGGTTTCAACCTACCAGTAGAGCTGATTGTATATTTGATCTCTTTGAAGGCTTACGATATATTCCAATGAACTTTAGTGGTGACCCACACCAATACATGCATCACTATAGATAGAGAGACTACGACGTCACAGATAGGAATCAAGTTTCCACAAGCGAGCTTCTGTTGAGATGTATGGAATCGAATAGTATGTTGGTGGCGGTTTGTCTAGTCGAAAGATCATTTGCTTCAAACAATACAAAAATAAAACCTCTAAAATCCAGACTTCATACGAAGTTTGTACAACAAGAAATATACCAAGCGAATGGTTTGCAGAATAACGATTGGGTTGCATGGAGAGAGCATCCATTTGTCTGACAAAAGAAGGCCTCTTTGATCCGTAAGATTTTTAAAATGTGAGAAAAAGAGTGCACGACTGGAATAACATGTCCTCTTGAATCATGTAGAATTAGGAAACAAATGAGGATTTTCCTATGACGGTTACGCCCACACCCCCGTGGCTACTCATGTTTAAAACATAGAAAGGAATTAGTCAGTAAAATTCACGCACATCGACTGAATTACCAAACACTTTTGTTTGTAGGAACTGCTTTATAGTGTTTATGAAAATATGATGGTGTCTAAATTAAATAAGTTTGTTTTGCTTAGGAACAAAAGATACTGCATGGGCAAGAAGGACGCACATTGAAGCATGATAAAATTAAAATCATTAAGCTACGCGTGAAGGGCGGTCAACCAGCTATGCCATGTGGCGCAAGCTGGTTGACCGCGGTGAAAAAACTTTTAGGATATTATTTTTGGATGGAGGTGAGAATTTTTTTAAATGTTTTTTTCTTTTTAGATGGAGGTGATGATCCCACGTATTTTTTAACGGAGGGCTACGCAAAGTGGCGCTTGTTGGTAGGCCGCCTTGGTGATTTTTTAACTTCTTTTTCTAGATGGAGTGGGCGGGGGGATTTTTTAAAAATATTTTTCTAGATGGAGATAAGGACTACATATATTTTTTAAAATAAAAATCACACGCATAATTTCCTCTCAAGCGGCGCCACCGGGCGGTGTCCCAACCACTAGTATGAAGATAAAGACGAGTGTGCAAGCAATGACTTCATACTTCATAACTTTGAAACGACAAAATGATGCATGCAGACATGGCACGATATACAATACATCGTCTCATTTTTTTTGTCCATGACCTTGTACATGTCATATGCCACCTCATTTTTGGATCATGCTTGTGTTATTGGGAAAGAGGGGATAATAAACAGTTTTTATTATCCGCATAAGCGAAGGAAATCGACATATGGTTAGATTCGCCCCTCCCATGGCAGGCCAAATTTTGTTTCCTCCATTGGGTTTTGTTTTGTTAAATATGTACCATAGTTGCAATTTTTCTCGAGTACGCATGAGAGTGCGTACTATATATTATAGAAGGAAAACGGGGTAGAAGAACCCCCCATAGCG